GGCTTTGAGGAAGAAATGGTAATCTGAGATGCTGGGGCAAGAACTATCTTGTGTCTTGTGGGAGAGAAGCAGGGAGAGAAAGAGGAAAAGAAATAGCTGCAGCTTGACAGACTGTTTCCAGCCAAGAATATTCAAGAACAGACAAGACTGTCAAACCATTCACCCAAATTTGGCCATGGGCTATGAGCATGCCATCTTGGATTTCTTTTTTCACTCCAGCTCTTCCTGTGTGAAGTAGGGAAGTTCAATGGCAACCCAGAGTCTAAATAAGTGGTTTTCACACTTTAGCATGTGTCAATATCGCCTGGGGCCTCAAGCAATAGGGTAGATTTTGCTTTATTAGGTTTGCAGTGTGCCCTAACAAGTTCCCAGGTGATACTGATGTTTCTGGTCCAAGGAGCAGACTTTAAAAACCACTAGCCTAATTACAGCTATGTCATACAATTGCATTGCATTTTCTTGCCGTGCAATTACCTGAGCCATGCCTGCACATACAGAAGCCACACGTGATCCAAGAGGATAAACCAAAGAGATGATGCTCCCCCAGGGATGGACTTTGGTGCAAATCAAGTTGCAATGATAAGGAATTGGCTTCGATGCAAACTTAGTTACAATACAACTGACTCTGTGGGATTTATATTAATAATAAGAGCTAACAGTTATTGACACATGCGCCAGGCAGTGTGTCATCTCTACCTATATTATCTTTGAGGTAAGTGTACTGTTATCACTGCCGTTTTATAAATGTAGACTCTGAGCTTCACTGGGTTAAGTCTATGGTCACTCAGAGAATAAGAGAGCTGGATGTAGAATCCATGACTCTCTGACTTAACTGCTATACACTGTACTTCCTAAACTCCAGAAACACTAGACCAGGAAGAGAGGTCCACCTTCAGTGTTCTTTGATAAAGGAATAAACATAGGTGAATGGGAGGCCATAGCTCTTTCTTCACTCTACTTTATTATGTCTTCTCTGGGTAATGCAAACATTCTCCTCCAGCCCCATTTCCTCCTCGACCTTTCCCATGCTAGCACATGGGAAAATGCTTCATGTATTACAGTGCAGGAGATTAGAAAAGGGGGTACCTGGCTACCAGAAGTGGTGTCTCAGTTTTACTTATCTTCTCTGGTGAAACAAATACCTCATTCCATGTGGGAACATCACCTGGTGTTTGGGGACTCTGGCCCCGGAAATATGATTTGAGGCTCCAAAGGAAGTTGATTGCAAGGAGTGGAACACCTTAAACAAAAAAGCTTCTTGTTTTTAATAACACCCAGTTCTTGCATTGTCTATCCCATCTCTTTGATGTTGTGGGATAGGAGGTGGGAGAATGGAGCTGCAGAGATACCAGGCTCTTATCTGAATATAGAATTGCTTTCATTGTTACTGCTCTGACTTTGATATGCTTCTTAACTAGTCTCATAGCTTGCTTCTTCATCCTGAAGTTCCTACTTTATAGCTTAATTCAGGACCTGGCTTTCAGAGCCACTTGCCTGGGACCAGAAGCTTCTAGGGTAAGAGATGATGAAGACTCCCCTCTTGATTGGAAAATGCTGAGCTTTCCCCAGGCATTTGGCATACAAAGTTCAGGTAAAAATTATGGACCAAATCAGTGGCTAGGGACAGATCTTCAGGAACACTTGCCACACAATGGCCCATCACTAGCTCCAGAAGAGCGATGTTGCATTGTACTTTTGTCCTAATTCACCCCTTTGTTTCACCAAACTAAAGTACACAGACGTGTGGCCACAAGTCTGCTTCTAGCAAAACACATCCTACTGTCCCTAGTGATACATTTGGCCCAAAACAATCTCCCTTTATACTAACTATTTTCAAATCTGTGCAAATACTTCCACATTAAAATTTCACATACCCTTTGACCCAGCAATAGCATTTCTAGATATTTATTCTACAGATATACTTGCACATGTCCAAAATGAGGTATAACAGAATTGGCTATAATAATAAAATACCGGAACCAATCTAATCCATCTGATCCATCAGTAAGAAACCAGCTAAATAAATTACAAATAATGTGCAATCATTAAGAATGAGGCAATCTACCTGTACTGACATGGAACAAATCACCAAAATGTAGAGGAAAAAGAGGAAAAGAATTTTATACATAATGTGGCACCATTAGGGTGAGAAAAATGAAAAGTGTATATGTATGTATACCTATATATGCATACATATATGTGTGTATGTATGAATATGTGTGTGTGTATGTATGTGTGTGTGTGTATGTATGTGTATATGTGTTTATATGTATATGATGGTAATAGGATATGTTTCCAGAATATCTCTGGAAGGAATCATAAGAAACTAGTAATGTTGCCAGTTGCTTCATGATAGATATTAGATGATACGACCTAATTGTTACTCATTCTTCCTGAGAGGACTTGAAATTGATTTTGAACATTATTCCATGCAGCCTGAAGTAGATTCAAAATGGAAAGGTAATAATATGGAACAAATCTCATGCCTCCTCTGACCACAATGGAAGACCCCCAGGGTCCACGCATGCTGGAACACTATTGGCATATACACCACCTACTCCAGTTTCTATCAAGATCACTCTTTAATAATCTATAGCAGAATTTTCCTATGAGAACTGCTAGGTTTTATAAAGAGAAGAAAGGAGATGTTGACATAGTAAGGCAAAAACACAAAATCCCAGAGGACTTTGAGACGGGCCTACAAAAGAAAGCAGTGTCCTCAGGTGAATGCAGTTGGGTGGAATGAAGATTCAAGGGTCACATTTCCTAAAATATAGAGTTGCTGGAGACCTTGAACTTCTGTGAACAAAATCTTCGGAAATATATAGCAAACCTATGATATTTTCTCTAAATAAAGTACTATTTCTCAAAATGTGCTTCTTAAATCACATGCTCTGTCCATGTATACTCCATGCATATGTATTCAATTCCAGCCCTCGTGTATTTTCCTTTATTTTTTTTTTCACTGTTTGCCTGCGAGGTGCATGGGCACAGCACCATTTGCTGGTACATTCCTCTGAATTTAGCGGGCACCAGAATCACAGCTCTTTTAGAACCAGAAAGGAAATTAGAAATTGCAACTCAAGGAAGCAAAGGGATTTATTTGCCCAAGATCCTATAATAGCGTCACTGGACATAGAATCTTTGAATCTTTTTCTCCTAAAACATCTACTAGTCTCTCTCTACTGGCTCTATTATTCCAGCACAGAAGTAAATTCTTATTTCCCTCTTACCCCTCGACAATCTATAACCTATGTCCTCTTTAAAGCGACTGTCTTTTATGTCTTCTCTCCAACAAGCTTCTGGATTGTTTTATCTCTGCTCTGTCTCCATAACCCTGTTGTTAAGCTTGCTCCCTCACCAATCCACAGAAAATTCTCTCTCTAAGGATACCTGTGACCTGCCGTTGGCAAATCTTATAATACAACCGGTTTCATCCTTATCATAAGAAAGTCTCTGAATACATAACACCCTTAACCGCTTGCTCCTCCATCATCTTCCCTCACTCCTGGTTTTCCTCCTGCCTCTCTTCCTCATTCTGTCTCTCCTCTGCAGAACCCTCTTCCTAATCCCACCCTTGAAATGCTTACTCTCTGTCTTCTTGTCTCACTCTACACATTTTCCTGGGCTTATCTTTTCCTATTCATTTTATTTGTACCAAAAGCTTCCAAATGCCTTATCTTCAACTTTAGTTATTTCAACGATCCATAACTCAACCTCCAACTTCTTATGGAATATCATCATTTGGGTGTTCCTCAGGCACAACAAACTCCACATGTGCAGAAATCTGAATGCATCATCTTTTTTTATCCCCCAAACCACTAGTACATTCTCTATTTTAATGAACAGTAATTCCACCCTCCTAGTCACCGAAGGCTGAAATTTTAGAGTTATCTTTAATTGGTACTTCTTCATAAACCTCACATCCCATCAGTCACCAAGTCTTAATGCCTCCATCTTTGAAAAACCCTACTAATCCATACTATTTTCTCCATTCAAGGGCCATTAGTTTAGGTCATCATTACTGCTCAATGTGCTGTTACAGAAGTGCCCTAGCTGCTGTGCTTGCCTCCCTCCATTTCTGTCTCTTTCTATTTAACAACTCTGATTTTTTTGTTGAAGTCCCTTTTATGATGCTGAGTGACCTTAAGATGGCATTCCCAGATCCTTATGTGACCTACAAGGTTCTCCATGATCTTCCCTCGCCTACGTTTCTAGCATCATCTCCTGCTTCTCCCCTACCTCCATCTGTATTGAATAGCATACAGTCTCCCAAAGTTCCAGCCCGCAGCCTACCGGTAAGTGCTAAATGTGCTATTGCTTCTGCACATTGCCTTT